AAAGGTAAACTACAGAATGGCAGAAAATATATGCAAACCACATACTTGAAAAAAGACTAGTGTCTAAAATATTAAACTCTCAAAACTCAACAGTAAAAAATTAGAAAAGGGGGCAAAAGACATGAACAGATTATTCTGAGGAAATACAGAAGGCAAATAAGTACATGAAAAATGTTCAACTTTACTAGCTATTAGGGAAATACAAATTAAAACCGCAAAGATATATTACTGCATATCTATCAGAATAGCTTAAATCAAAAACAGTGACAACACTAAATGTCAGTAAGGAAGCAGAGATACTGAATCATTTGCTGGTAAGAATATAAAATGGTACAGTCACTCTGGAAAACATTTAGCAGTTTCTTAACTAAACATGGGCCAGGGACAATGGCTAACACCTGTGTTCCCAGCACTCTGGAAGGCTGAGGAGGGAGGATCACATAAGCCCAGGAGTTCAAGGCCAGCTTGGGCAACATGGTGAAACCCCATCTCTACCAAAAAAAATTAAAAATAATTAGTTGGGTCTGGTGGTGACCACCTGCAGTCCCAGCTAATCGGAAGGCTGAAGTGAGATGATCATTTGAGACTGGGAAGTCAAGGCTGCACTGAGCCATGTTCATGCCACTGTACTCCAGCCTGGGCAACAGAGTACGATCCTGTCAAAAAATAAAAAATAAAAGAACCAAACATGTAACTACCATTCAACCCAGCAACTGACCTGCTGGGCATTAATTCCAGAGAAATAAAAACTTACATTAACACAAATACCCATACACAAATGTTCATAGTAGTTTTACTTCTAAGAGTGAAAAACTAGAATCAGCCCAGAGGTCCTTTAATATGTAAATGTTAAACAAACTGTGGTACATCTATACCAAAGAATACCACTCAGCAATAAAAAGGAATCAACTATTGATACCAACAACAATTTGAATGAATCTCCAGGGAATTATGCTGAGCAAAAAAAGCCAATCTCAAATAGTTGCGTATTGTATGATTCCACCTATGTAACTTTTTTAATGATAAAATTTTAGAAATGGAGGATAGACTCGTAGTTGCTAGGAATGATGTATGGGAAGATGGGGGCAGGGAGGGCAGGAGGGAAGTGGTATGATTATAAGAGGGCAATAGAAGGGATCCACATAGTGTTGGAACTATTCAGTATGTTGACTGTTGTGGTAGATACACAAACCTACACAGGTGGCAAACTTTATAGAATGTAAGGCAGGCACACACACACAAAGAGTACAAGTAAAACTAAGGAAGATATGTGAACTGTATCAATGTCCATAGCCTGGTTATGATATTATACTATAGTTTTGTGAAATGTTACCATTGCAGGAAACTGGGCAAAGTATACAAAGGATCTTTCTGTATTATTATTACAACAGCATGTGAATCTATAATTATCTCAATGAAAATTTTAATTGGGAAAAAAAGTACATGGTCTCAAGTGTGAACTCAGACAGTGCATTCTTGCACTGGAAATATAAATGGCCCATTCTTTCCAGAAGGCATTTGGCAATGCTACCAAAACTGAGAAACTCACTTAACATTTTATCCAACAATTCCATTTTTAGGGTATTAATTGTAACAAATAAACTATAATGTGTTGAAAATTTAGAGACAAAAGCATTTATTTTAGCAATGGTTTTTATACCTAAAGAGGAGAAACAACTAAATGTGGTACATCCACACTATGAAGTTCTATCTAGTCATCAAAATAATCTTTTGGAATTAAACTTAACCTTGAACGATGGTCAAGATATATTCATTTGTTCCACAAATATTTATTTAATTCCTTCTACATGCCAGGCACTGTTCTTGCACTGGGAACTTTATCAAATGTCAAATAAGGTATGATCCCAATATTTCTGTACAGTTCAAATGATTGTTGGTAAGTAAATTGGTGAGAAAGGACTAAACACATATTTCTGCGTGTGATCACAAATACACATATAAATATGGACATACACATACACATATGCACATAGATATGTATATATAGTGTAAATTCCAGAAGGATATAACTGAAAATGTCAATAATGGTTGCTTCTGGAAAGTGGGATTGTGTGTGTTTAGTTTTGTTTATCTGTATATTCTAAATTTCTATAATTAACAAGTATAAATACATTAATTTTTTAAATTATTGGAGGAAAAAAGGCTGGTTCCCAGAGAGTTCCATTTTATGATGTATTTAGCATTAAATAGGTTTATTTAACCAATCTGCTCATGGCTCGATATTTAGTTTGCTTCTAGGTTTTCAATGTCATAAATACACTGCAAAAAATTTCTTTTTTTTTTAAATTGCATTTTAGGTTTTGGAGTACATGCGAAAAACATGCAAGATAGTTGCATAGGTACACACGTGGCAGTGTGATTTGCTGCCTTCCTCCCCTTCACCTATATCTGGCATTTCTCCCCATGCTATCTCTCCCCAACTCCCCACCACCTGCTGTACCTCTCCTATTCCCCACAACAGATCCCAGTGTGTAGTGTTCCCCTCCCTGTGTCCATGTGTTCTCATTGTTCAACACCTGCCTATGAGTGTGAACATGTGGTATTTCATTTTCTGTTCTTGTGTCAGTTTACTGAGAATGATGTTCTCCAAGTTCATCCATGTCCCTGCAAAGGACACAAACTCATCGTTTTTGATTGCTGCATAATATTCCATGGTGCATATGTGCCACATTTTCCCTGTCCAGTCTATCATTGATGGGCATTTGGGTTGATTCCAGGTCTTTGCTATTGTAAACAGTGCTGCAATGAACATTCGTGTGTACGTGTCCTTATAGTAGAATGATTTATAATCCTTTGGATATATACCCAATAATGGGATTGCTGGGTCAAATGGAATTTCTATTTCTAGGTCCTTGAGGAATTGCCACACTGTTTTCCACAATGAACTAATTTACACTCCCACCAGCAGTGTAAAAGTGCTCCTATTTCTCCACATCCTCTCCAGTATCTGTTGTCTCCAGATTTTTTAATGATCTCCATTCTAATTGGCATGAGATGGTATGTCAATGTAGTTTTGATTTGCATTTCTCTAATGACCAGTGATGATGAGCATTTTTTCATATGTTTGTTGGCCTCACGTATGTCTTCTTTGGTAAAGTGTCTGTTCATATCCTTTGCCCACTTTTGAATGGGCTTGTTTGTTTTTTCTTGTAAACCTGTTTTAGTTCTTTGTAAATTCTGGATATCCGAATTTACCCTTTGCCAGATGGGTAAAATGCAAAAATTTTTTCCCATTCTGTTGGTTGCTGATTCACTCTAATGACTGTTTCTTTTGCCATGCAGAAGCTGTGGAGTTTGATTAGGTCCCATTTGCCTATTTTGCCTTTTGCTGCCAATGCTTTTGGTGTTTTGGTCATGAAGTCCTTGCCTACTCCTATGTCCTGAATGGTTTTGCCTAGATTTTCTTCTAGGGTTTTTATGGTGTTAGGTTTTATGTTTAAGTCTTTAATCCATCTGGAGTTAATTTTACTGTAAGGTGTCAGGAAGGGGTCTAGTTTCTGCTTTCTGCACATAGCTAGCAAGTTTTCCCAACACCATTTATTAAACAGGGAATCCTTTCCCCATTGCTTGTTTTTGTCAGGTTTGTCAAAAATTGTATGGTTGTAGATATGTTGTGTTGCCTCCGATGTCTCTGTTCTGTTCCATTGGTCTATATCTCTGTTTTGGTACCAGTACCATGCTGTTTTGATTACTGTAGCCTTGTAGTATAGTTTGAAGTCCAGTAGTGTGATGCCTCCCGCTGCGTTCTTTTTACTTAGAATTGACTTGGCAATGTGGGCTCTCTTTTGGTTCCATATGAAGTTTAAGGTGTTTTTTTCCAGTTCTGTGAAGAAGGTTATTGGTAGCTTGATGGGGATAGCATTGAATCTATAAATTACTTTGGTCAGTATGGCCATTTTCATAATATAGATTCTTCCTAACCATGAACATGGAATGTTTCTCCCCCTGTTTGTGTCCTCTCTTCTTTTGTTGAGCAGTGGTTTGTAGTTCTCCTTGAAGAGGTCCCTTACGTTCCTTGTTAGTTGTATTCCAAGGTATTTTATTCTTTTTGTAGCAATTGTGAATGGCAGTTCGTTCTTGATTTGGCTCTCTTTAAGTCTGTTATTGGTGTATAGGAATGCTTGTGATTTTTGCACATTGATTTTGTATCCTGAGACTTTGCTGAAGTTGCTTATCAGTTTAAAGAGATTTTGGGCTGAGACGATGGGGTCTTCTAGATATACTGTCATGTTGTATGCAAATAGAGACTATTTGGCTTCCTCCTTTCCTATTTGAATACCCTTTATTTCTTTTTCTTGCCTGATTGCTCTGGCTAGAACTTCCAGTACTGTACTGAATAGTAGTGGTGAGAGAGGGCAACCTTGTCTAGTGCCAGATTTCAAAGTAATGCTTCCAGTTTTTGCCCATTCAGTATGATATTGGCTGTTGGTTTGTCGTAAATAGCTTTTATTATTTTGAGATACGTTCCGTCAATACCGAGTTTATTGAGGGTTTTTAGCATAAAGGGCTGTTGAATTTTGTCAAAGGCCTTCTCTGCATCAATTGAGATCATAATGTGGTTTTTGTTTTTGGTTCTGTTTATGTGGTGAATTACGTTTATAGACTTGCATATGTTGAACCAGCCCTGCATCCCTGGGATGAATCCTACTTAATCATGGTGGATAAGCTTTTTGATGTGCTGTTGCAATCGGCTTGCCAGTATTCTATTCAAGATTTTTGCGTCTAAAGGGTAACACTTAATATAATTCAACTGCTTTTACCTAAATACGCTTACTGCTTAAGTATATCCTACAATATAACTAACTTGAGAAAAGCTAGAACTTGTTTAACAGTTATAGTTTACTCAGCTTCACTGTTACATCCTAGATAAGTATTGTACTCAAAAATACTGAGCCTCAAGTCTTTGTAAGAATCCTGATTTCCACTTAGAGAGAAAGCATAAATCACAAGCTTGTATTGCAGAAACTGTTAAACTGAAGTTTTGTTTTTCTTTAAAAAAAAGTTGACCAAGAGTCAGTGATCAGGATCAATCAATTACATTCCCCATCCACCACTCATACTGGACATACTATAGACATCCCTCCCATTCCGTTCACGCCCATAGATGCATGGCTTCCACTACTGTAGTAGCTGCTGTTCATTGCTCCTTGGCTACCTATGCAATGTTTGATTGAATCACTGGAGTTTTCCTGTAAAACTTGGTTGTATCCACTCATGATGCTCTGGCCACCATAGCCGCCTCCATAACCACCACTCAGCTGCTGGCTGGCTGGGCCACCGTAACTGGACTGGTTTGACAAGCCCTTGCCTCCCATCATTTGGCTCCCATAAGCACCACTGCTTGCTCCTGCTGTAGAATTCGAGAAGAGTTCTACATATCTGTGTTCATAAGCACCACCGCTTGCTCCTGCTGTAGAATTCAAGAAGAGTTCTACATATCTGTGTTGCATATTTACTTTGTCTTTTGACATGCAGACTCAACATCTGCTTCACCAGTTACTCTGCCATCAGGACCAATTTCAATGTGTACTCTCACAGGATTGAGTGGTGAAAAAAAACTGTAAATGTCATTCTCAGTAGCTCTGTAAGGTAATCCACGCATGTGTACACAGTGTCCTATTGTGCTCTGGAAAGTAGAGCCACCATCCCCGTATCTGTGATCAGAATGAATCACAGATACTGAAAAACAGTAATTGAGGTCTCTTCCAAATCTATCTGACCCAAATCCATAGCCATCATTATAGCCATTGTAATTGTCATAGCCTCCACCATAAGCACCACACCTCATCCTTTCAAAGCCTGCTCCTCTGCCAATGCTGTTATATCCTCTGCCAGCCCCAGGTCTGTCATAGGGACCTGGCCGCTGCATGGCCATAAGCTTTCGTGGTGGGTCATAGTGAGTTCTAACTTCAGCTCTACTGCTCTTAAAGATTTCAATATACCTGTGCCCTATTCTTAAGGAATTTCTTTTTTTTCTCCTTTGAGACAGGGTCTTGCTCTATCGCTCAGGCTGGAGCACAGTGGTGCAATCACAGCTCACTGCAACCTCAACTTCTGGGTTCAAGCAATCCTCTCTACCTCAGCCTCCCACATAGCTGGGACTAAAGATGTGCACCACCACAGCCAGCTGACTTTTTTATTTGTTATAGAGACAGAATCTCCTTATGTTGCCTAGGCTGGTCTTGAACTCCTAACCTCATGATACGTAAACCTTGGCCTCCCAAAGGGCAGGGATTACAGGTGTGAGCCAGGCTGAAATAATTCTTTTAACAGCAGAGAAACATATAATAATTACTTGGTTGTCAATTAAATTTGAAAATATAATCTGTCAATTTTACTTTAATTACAGAATTTTGACAGACCCAGTCAGATAAACAAAAAATTATCTCTGTAGGACTCTATATTTAATTCAATGATTTTTATTCAGATAATCATTGTGGATTCATATCTGACATCTCCAAATCTTTAGCTCACAGAGATCAGCCTCCCCAACAAGAATTCCCAAGCTAAGGGCAGAGGTGGCCTTTTTATAGTAACTACCTCATAGGGGCAATGAGAGGAAAGATGACACAATACAAGCTCCAAGTGCCTCCATAGACATATTAAATGGTTCCCAAATGTTGTTTACTATTAGTGTTTCTATTAGAAGTAACATACCTTTAACAAAAAATAAAGAAAACTTAAATAGCAGTTATTTCAATCCTCTCTTCATTTTACAGATGAGGAAATCTGGAGTTTGCAAAGGTGGGCCTCGAATTCAGGTTTCCTTAATGTCAGTCTGATACTCTTTCTCTAACATTATTTTGTCTTTTAGCAGGTTTTCTATGGACAGACTGAAAGCTAGAGACACCCTAATTCTCACAATTACACTTAATCAGAGCAATCTGCAATTTGAGATTTAAGTCTACATGCTCAAAATATACTTCATTTATAGGTATCTGCCTGGTTTAATAATAAAGCAGATATTTAAAGTTGCAGGCTCAAAGCAAATGGGTTTATATCTGCCTCAGAAGATGATGAATGATTGATTACAAATCTCTGCTTTGATATAGGGTTTCTGATTGCATTAGACACAGGGCATGAAGACTAATTAAAAATGCTCATACATTCATCACCGTTGATTGTGCATAATCCACTGCTGAAAGTACCAGTGCAGCACCTTCTCTAAAATGACAGAGGAAACATGAATTTCCACTCAGAACTCCCGGAGGCTATGTCTTGATTTCAAGGTAAATGGGCTTTCCCTAATAGCCTAAATCAGAAACAGAATCACAGTTCAAAAAAAAAAAGCCTACACCAAATTTTACTATCCTATCTGAGAAGGGGCTGGCTAGGCCTGGTCACATGTTATGTGATCAATAAATAATTACAGATGGATTGGTAAACAGGTCTATAGGCATACTCTACAAATTTCCAAAACTACTTTTTCCAGATGCCTACATAATTGGGAGTCGCAATTATGTGTTACAATAAACCAAATGAAACATATCCTTTTTTCTTTCTTTTTGAGACAGGGCCTCACTCCGTTTCCCAGGCTGGAGTGCAGTGACTACAACTCACTTCAGCCTCAACCTCCTGGGCTCAAGCAATCCTCTCACCTAGGTGCCCCTCACCCCCCCCACCACCCCAATAGCTGGGACCACAGGCATGCACAAGCATGCCCAGCTAATTTTCTAAAATGTTTGTAAAGACAGGGTCTTGCCATGTCACCCAGGCTGGGGAAATAAATCCTATATACCACCAAAAACATTCCTTGAACTGACTCCCTTATATACATGCTCCAGCCCTACAGTGAGTGGCCAGTACAGATCTCTCTCCACTTCTAAAGAGCTACAATTATTATCTGACAGTCAAGTGTTGCACTCACTTACAAAAACACCAACAAGATTGATATGGTTTGGCCATGCCCCCACCTAAATTTCAACTTGAATTGTATCTCCCAGAATTCCCATGTGCTATGGGAGAGGCCTAGGGGGAGGTAACTGAATCACGGGGGCCAGGCTTTCCCACGCTATTCTCGTGATAGTGAATAAGTCTCACGAGATCTGATGGGTTTATCAGAGTTTTCTGCTTTTGCTTCTGCTTCATTTTCTCTTGCTGCTGCCATGTAAGAAGTACCTTTCACTTCCCGCCATGATTCTGCGGCCTCACCAGCCAGGCGGAACTAAGTCCAATTAAACCACTTTTTCTTCCCAGTCTCAGGTAAGTCTTCTCCTATTATCTGTGTTCTCCTATTCCTCAAGGCAATGTCTGTTCTCTCCTTGACTCCACCACTATTCCAGGTTCCTCTTTGATCTGATTCAGGAGTTAGAATCCTTATCTAGCTTTAGAACACAAGGATGGCACCCACTGTGTTGCCTGAAAGTGCCCCAGTACTAAAGGAGCATATACTAATCTTCCACCAGGAGGCCCGTGTGGCACCTCTGGATGTCTGTAATGGGAGTGGCTATAAAAGGAAAGAGTATCTTGTCTATGAAAACTGCACAACAGAGTGTGTGTTTCGAGGACTGGCTTAAAACTCAAAATCCTGTTGAATGAAGATGCTTGAGGTACTGGCTTTTGACCTACTTATTGTATAAGGCTCTGACAAATGAAAATGGATTCAAAATTACATAATCTGTATTCACAGCAAGAAAAAGATTTATGAAGTTCAACACAGCAACTATAAACTGAAGGTGGAAAGGAGAAAAAATAATGAAGATTCTGAGCTTGAAAATCATCCCAGTTTAGCAATGACAAAACTGAAAAACAATATAGACCAAACAATAGGAGAGTTGTCATATAGCTACTCAACTTCTGCTTAAAAAAAAAATGAAATAGCAGCATTGAAATATGCAGTGCCACATATCCACATACTCTACATTTCTTCCATATTATAAATTGCCAGTAGTAAAATTTACTTTTTCTATTTTGTAACTCTCTTTTACATTCCTTATATATTCCTGTGTGGATTTTTAAAATTCTTGCCTCCTTTACCTCATTCTCTTCTTTATATACTTGTTTTGGGGCCCTAGATATCCAGATTCTGGCCTAGGCTCTGTCTTTGTAGATACCAATGTAATTTACATAAGTACCAGTGGGCATGCATTGCACATCAATTTATTCAATAAATTCAGACAACAGTAACAAGTCAAACATGGTTCCTTTCTTTATGGAGCCTAGTCTATAAATATGAGGAGTTAGATAAACAACAGTCTCTTTCAGTTCTCAAAGAAGTACTCTTCTTCTCCCTTCCTCATGGAATGAACTTCATCTTTTTCATTTCCATTAATCACCTTTAACATTCCCAAAACAGTCTGTGCCATATAAAAACTTTACTTTCTAACAGAGATTCAGCCAGACTAGTTCATAAGGCAAAAAAGAAGAAAGAAGAACGAAGAAGGAAAGAGGAGGAGGAGGAGAAGGAGGAGAAAGAAGAAGAAGAAGAGGAAGAAAGAAGAAAGAGGAGGAGGAGAATGCAGTACAGGGATTCTACAAAAATCAAGGCCTTGAAAAAATATGCACAACAGTGTTGTTTTAGATGAACACAGAATGTGAGTAAATGTTATAGGAAAAACTGGGCAGGGGAGAAAAAGAGAAAGCACAGAATGCTCCTCCGCCTCAACAATTGGAACCTGATCCAATGAAAGTGTGGTCACTGGGTCATTCAGTTCTGATTACTTAATGAAAGTGTGCAAATCAGCAGATATTATGCCTGAGCGTTCCAAATGTCCCTAATTATGACCAAGCAGATGAAGGCCTTAAAAATCACACTTCACCCTATTTGAAAGGGTTGCTGGTGTATCATTAATTAAAATACCTCAGCTCCCAAATACATTAGAAGCATGATAATTATCTTCATACAAAATTTGCTTCAAAACACTCAAAATGCTTCAAACTGTAGGGTGACAACAGAATATAATAAATAAAAAGACTGGGCATTAAGGCCCCTGTCCATTACCATGTTGCTGCAGACCAAAGTTAAGAGCGCCCCGCTTTGGGAATAAGAAGCAGTGACAGCCCTGAGAAAGGAATGCGGCAATTATCCTAAATATGATTATTATTACATTAACAGCATTAGCAGCACCTAACTTTTCTTGAGATATTACCATATGCCACTCACTATGCTATTTTTGTACATGCCCCAAGCTCAGAGAGACTAAGTAACTTGCCAAAGGTCATCCAGCCAGAATGTTTCAGAGCAGAGAATTAAATTCAGGTCTATCTGGCTGCTCTGAAATCTAAACTGTTAGTCACTACAATGCCCCCAAAGAGGCAATGCCAAACAAGGAGAGGAGTCAGGAAGGAGAAGGAGTTGACAATTGCAAACATTTTCCTGGAGTTCATTTACAAGATTAAAAATGGTCAAAACCACAGAAATTGAATGTTGAACCACCAGAGAAGCCTGAACAGAATTCCAAAGATTCCCTAAACAGGATATGGGAAAACTTGCCTTCTCTTCCAAGACTGGTAAAATTAAAACAAAGAGAAATGGTAAGTCTGTAGCATGAGGACGGTGTCATTCATTAGGAAGGTGCCAATCTGAGGCAAGGCAGTAGAGCCACATGTGCCCACTTTCATCCAGTTACCCAACCAATATGTACTATATGTCCACCGTGTGCCAGATGCCCATCTTCTGCCCTGGTCTCTGACCTCCACGTGCTAGAGAGTAACCATAAAACCCTAAAGGAGGAAAAGAACCTATGCACAGAACCTGTGAAGGGGAAATGAGCAGGACTGACAGAATCTAATTCCGGAATGCTCGGCTCTAGTGTTCCCCAACTCAGGAGGAGACTTTTCAATTGAAGAACCACCCCCAATCCAATCCCACATTTAGTTTTACTATAGTGAGAACAGTACTGATGCCAAAGCATTGAGTTCTAACTACTTATTTTCAATAAAGGAAAACTCAGAATCTTTCTTAGAAGGCATTGTCCTAAAGATGAAAACATAGGAAGCTACTCTGGTTGTGTGACACTAGGGAAAACACTTCTGAAACCTTACAGTCTCTCCAAGAATAAGAAAGGGTCAGCACTGTTCATGAAGTTTCAATATGGCCCACCTCATTTTTGAAAAATGCAAAATTGAAAAACATGTCATGGCCTAGTGTAGTCAAATAAATCTGGCTTCAAATCCCAGTTCTGCTACCTACTAAGTCTGTAGCTTTAAGCAAAGTACTTAAACCTCTTTTGGCTCTAATTTCCTCAGTTTCAAAATGGGGATAAGAACTTCCACCCTCCTGGAATCTTATGGACACGCGTGTACTCTTCACCCCAGCTGTGATGCATTCCCTGCCCACAGCCCCCACAAAGGGCACTAGTTATATTGCCAACCACTGCTTGGAGGCAGCCTTAGACAGTGATTTTCTGTACCAAAACCTAGACACACCATCGACCTGCTAATCACAGGGAATGGAACCTGACAGAACAAGGGATTTAAAAGCAACCAATCCCTAGGCTGGCCTATAACCTATGATGTGCTCTAATGTCAGAGATGACATTAGCTCAGTCATTCAAATTATCCTGGGGATTTGAACTAGGAGGTAAAGCTAGATGGCAGCAGGCAGAGAAGCAGGTAAGTCCTGAGGCATAAGGATAACTTAGAGAAGAGCAGGTTGCAATGATGATGGACTTCCAGAATGACAGTCTACAATCCCTCAGCCTTTTGATTCCACCTAGAGGTGACTAGCTCTCCTCAGCCCTTGCCCTTCCTTTTTCCTAGGAGCTAAGAGTAAGCTTCCTACTACCTGAGGTCACAGGAGGGTATCTCAATTTTTTGCAACCAGAGATAAAGCAGGTGGGGAGCCTACACCCACCTGTGAAATAGGCCATGAGGAGGCAGAAAACCATTCGCCAAGCTGCTTTGTTGGACTTCACTGAACAGATTGGGAGACAGAAATGACATGACCCATCTAACTGAGAAGGACTCAAGATGCCTCTCACAGACACAGGCCACCAGAGGAAGCAACCAGAGTGTAGGTGGGGGGGGGGGGTGGAACACTCCAGTTATAAGTATAGGATAACCTTAAGAAGTTCCATGAAGTGAAACACCAAATAAAGTCCAGAAGCCCTCATACTTTTGCCACAATTTGTAGCCTCAGCTGAGGAGGCAGGGAATATTACTCTAACATTTCTTAAGACTAAAAACCAAACGTTACTGGTTTTCTCCTTGAGATAGAGTTTTGTTAAGGAATGAAAAAACAAAGATTATTCAACACCCTCCAAACAAAAACCAAATGACAACAGTGAAAAAAGCTAAAGCAAAGTTTCCTTCTGCTCTCCCACCCAAATACATACTTTTTAAAATGATCGTAAAAATAACGAGGAGAGAGATCCAAGATGGCCAATTAGCAGCAGCTCAGGACTGTAGCTCCTAGTGAAAGCACAGAGAGTGAGGGGATGCCACACTTCCAGACGAATTTTTGTTGCCAACAGACCAGGAGATTCCCAGCAGAGGAGCCCCACAGGTCGCCAGCGCGACTCTTTTGGCCGGTGCAGCAGTTCTCAGTACAGAGTATACAGGACTGGGTGCCCTTTTAGTTGGTGTTTGGAGCTCCAGGAAGTCAGAGTCACCCATTCAGCTGATTGAAAAGGGGACTGAAGCAGGGAGCCAGACTGGGAGATTCCCAGGCAGAA